GCTCATCATTGGTCCAGGTAATCTTTTGTCTCATCTGGGACAAGCCCCTCAATACCTCCTATTAGTCAGCATTGTTTTCCAAAGTCTATATCCGTCAGAGCACATGGCCTCAGATTGTGTGTCTCTGCCCTGATGCCAACTGGCAGTCCACCCCTAAACCTTTAGGGTTTGGGCCATAATCTCATCTTCATGGACCCCTGCACGTCTGGACAGGTTGTATTACCCCGTAACTGACCCCTCTATTCACTATCAATTACCTCTGCTTTCTTAGTTCTGTATTGCTTGCTCTTTTTGAATGTTTAGTGTGCTTGTCATTAGGGAAATACTTTAATAAAAACTATTTAATTTACTCTTCAAATCTGGAGTTTTCCTACTGTGCTACACCTCAGTATACAAGTGGTGTACAATTCCTATACCCCCTGGCCTATCCTGCCACATAGCTAACTTCCCCAAACACACATATAATTCAGTTCTTAATTTATGCCTGAAGACAAAATTAAGTAAGTTGTCGTATGGAAGAAGACAAAAGTTCAACCATGTACATTTATAAGTGGAGATAGAATTTTCTGATTGTAAAGAAGAGATAGACAGGCAGGGCTCTTTTTGTAGCAGGTATTCATTTGCATATTAAGCGACACACCCCTAATGTAGCCAGTCCTCCAAGAGCTTACAGTAGCTCCTGTAAGAAGAGCTCTGTAAGCTCTTGGAGGATTGGCTACATTAGGGAGTGTGGCCTAATATGCAAAGGAGTTCCTGCTGCAAAAAGAGCCCTGGCTCATGATCTAGATCATGTGGATCTAGATCATGTGGATCTAGATCATGTGGAAATTGTTGATCTAGATAGATCTCAGATTCAACAGAACATGCTTGTAGAATAAATGCTTTATAGTTAAAACATGCTGGCTACTAATCCAAACTGTCTTGCCCTTCCTAATGTGTCAGTGTGGATACATAAAATCCTGGTCTCCTTATATAATTAGTTCTGACCACTGTTAATTTGGTATATGTTCTGATCAATTTTTATGTAATGAGAAATTCTGCTTTTTGACCTTTTCCACATGCTCAACTTACACCTGACTTTCTTGGCAGTCGGTCCACAAGGACTGGAATCAGTTTGGGTACAATTCTTCTGCACATCTACCCTCCTTGTGCATTTTTCACAGTGGTAGAGTAAGTTTATTTTCTTCTACACATGCCCTCAGTAATGGGGAATTTCAAGGAAGGGTGCTGTCATCAGTGGTGGTATCATTAGTGGCATCACTACACCCCCTTATTTTTTCTAAATGCCCCCAAAATATCGATATAGTGGTATATATATATTGGTATATTGATATACCGGTATATTTTTAAAAAGACCTGAAACTGCTCGTCTTCAGGGAAGGAAGGAGGAAAGGGAGTGGTTTGATGATGACGACAGTCCAATAATGGGAAAGTGCACTGGAGGTGGGTGGGAGTAGCTGGGACAAAGGAAACTGACAGAAATAAAATTGGCTTCCAGAAAAACCTGGGGGTCAAAGTGGTTTCAAAAGAACCAGAAAAACAACAAGTGGGAATAACAAAATAAAAACACAACCCACCCTGAAGTGAAAAGTAAAGGCACAAAAATGCATGGGTCCAGAACCAATGGGGGGGGGGGACATGTGGGAAAGCCCTCTAACAAAGAGAGATATAGACTTCAAGGTAGTTTACATTTTTATTTTATTTTTCATCCAATAAAGGCTTATCTTCTTACTGAACTTTTACAGTCACAGTTCTTTTTATCATGATCTTTGAAAACACAATTGTGAGACATTTATTGTAAAATTCTTCTAACATTAATACATGTTGATTAAGCACTAAGGAATATTGCAAGCATCAGATCAAATAAGAACATAAAAGGTATTAGATATTCTGATCGTTATCTTCCAAAATTGTCTTGTAAAAGCCTATAACTATAGGGAAATGAGAAATGAATAATGTGATTAGAAAAACTGAACTAAATTAGAATTAGCTTCATCAAGCATGACTTGACTTGTGTGTTTTACATTCATGTCATTCTCAAGGATCAGATAATTTTTTTAAAAAAATCTTGATCCTAATTTTGACTACTACATGGGCAATAAGGAATTAAACTGTGAAGCAATTTCTTACCATTTCTTGGCCAGCTTCTTCTTTAAACCAATCTATTTCCTGGTACTCCGATTCAAATGTTTTTACTATTTATTGCTTAGATTTATATCCTGATATGTCAGAACAGATTACAAAGGGTATTATGCCACACAACATCAAGAGATGCTGTTCTCTGACATAAGGGAACACAAGAAATATGTAATACATAGCTTTTAATTTTCACTATATTTAAGAATTAACTTAATCTTCCCCTTAACCATTTTTTCTTAAAATCCTAAACCCTTTATGTAGCTATTTCACAGATACTGTTGCTTCCAGTGAAAAGCCTTGTGCCATAAAGTTGCACCAGCACAGGAGCAAACCCAAATTTATGTTGACTGATTACCTCCTGTTCTATGGCTACAGCATCAGAACTATACAGCTGTTCCAGTTCAAGGTGCCAACTTGCAATGTGGCACCAATGCAAAATCCCTTAGGCATAATCCTACCCAGCTAAGAGGCTTTTTGAAGGAAAATGGCTTAAAACCAAGCACTGTGGCTTACTTTTGTTCTGTCATATTGCCTACTTTATTTATTTCCTTTATTATATACTCACTTGTCTCTAAAACACTATTACACAACTCTACAAAAGCCCACAGGTGGTCAGCAGCAGACTGTACATTTGCAGGGGTTGGATTAACGACCAGAAAGCTTTTCTCTGCTGAGTGAAGCTGCTGCATGGGCTCCTACCAGGAAAGGTGGTCATGAGTGGCTTTACAGGTAAGCACCAGCACCTTGAACTGGATGTGGAAACCCATAGGCAATCAATACAAGGATCACAAAAAGGTGTAACATGGTGCATTAAACCTACCCTGATAAAAACAGGTTGCTGCCTTTTGCATCAACTACAGTTTCTGAATTGTCTTCAAAATCCATTCCACCACATACATCATACAGTTGTCAATACATTTTATAATGCAGTTTACCTATAATATATGATGACCACCAAAGGATTTGTCAGTATGGACTGTATAGGACTCTTTCCAGCAACTTTTTCACACAGTGATGTGCTATCATAAGTCCCTGATACACTTCTAAGATTGCCAACTCCAGGCTAGTAACCCTATTCACTACCTGATCTCTGGGTCTATTCCTACATGCCTTTTGCAGCACTTTTTATGTAGAATTTGCCATAAGATGTTTGTGTTTATTACTAAAGTTGTGTGGATTGTTGGATCCTAACTGAAGCAACAGTAGGGAAGTTGTTCCCAATTCTTTGGTTCCTGGTTGCCAGACCCTCCCCCCCTGGGAGACAGTGGTCCCCCATTGCCAGGCCCCACCTTCCTGCCGCCAATCAGCTGACTGGTGGAGGGGAACATAACCCGAAAAAGGAGATCCACCCAGCCTGCAGCAGCATGTCTATGTCACTGCCCATGTGACCTGGAAACATCGATATACATTGGATGGGCCTACCTGCTGCTCCCGATAAGTCCTCCCACATCCCCTACTGCCAGGGGAGGTAATCTCTGCCTGCCAGGGAATGTAATCTCTGTCTCTCCCTCTTACTAGCCAGGTTCTGCTGTTTCACAATGAGTGGTGGAGATGAAAAAAGGACTGATGTTGTCTCTTATATAAGCCACCAGAGATGTAACCCATAGAACCCAAGGAAATTACTTGCAAGACATGAAGAAGCAGGCTTCTTCCAAAAAGAGGAAACACAATACAGTGGAGCCCTGGCATTTCAAAGAAGGAAAAAGAGAACACAGAGCACCACACAGATACCTTTTCTGTAAACTAGCTCTATATATGCACTTCTTCCACACATTAGCATATAAACCACATAATCTGTTAACTGATTTGACAACTTTCATGAGAGCTACTTCTGAGATCTCTACCCCCTACGCCTAATGTATAGGTCCTCTTTCATAGGGATGAACTAATATTAATGCATTCCTTACAGAACACATATCCAGTGCATTGTGAATTACATCATACAAGACAGTAAACTATCATAACTGCCCTGTGTCCATGCTGCTATGTCAGAGTGGGTTTGTACTGCTGATGCTCAGCTCAGTTGAGGGAAGGGAAAAGCCCTTTGCAACCATTGTTGTTGCTCCTAAATACATTGACAATGCTCTTTACAATGTTGTGTGTTCAGAAATGGCTAATGCCACCCAGGATAAATAAAGAGAAGCAATGTGTACAACACCTATTCAGTCCACACCTACTTGGATGTAAGTCTCTTGAGGACAATAGAGATTATTTGAAGAAGTGAGTTCTAGCCCTCAAAAATTTATCCTGGAATATCATTTTGTTAATCTTCAAAGTTTCACCAAACTCTTGTTTATTTTTGCCACAAACAACAGACTACCTCTCTGGAATCATTCTCAAGTAAGGGAGCACAGGACTGAAGCTTCTTTCTCCACCCCCACCCCTTTATCTTAGTTATTCTCCTGCCTGGTAACTACACAGCTGTGAGATTCAAGGTGCAGGGGAAAACTGCCAACTGGCATCTGATTTTATTCGAACTGGATCCACTTTTTACCTTAGATGTTGCAGGAATCCTCATAATAAACAACAGTCACCCAATCAGTTTACACAAAGAGAGAAAGCGAGAAACAACAAAACCTAGTTTACCGATGACATGTGGGAATATGACTATGAGGAGCACCCTTCTCGGCACGCCGCACTGCGCATGCGCACTCTATTCGATGCTGTCGAGGTGTCATAGACCGGTTTGTGCCTGCATGGAAAAGAAGAGGGGGTGTACTAGACCTTCTGATTGGCTGAACTTGTTTCCCCTTGCGCTCCTGGTTGGTTAAATGGAAAACGCTATGTTCATTTGGCCCTCTGATTGGTTCTTGTCTCTCTCTCGTGCCAACCCGCTGTGCCTGGATTGTTGTTGCCTTCAGTGGTTACTACCCTGTACTCGCTCTCTCGCACCTCTCCGTCGCAGTGATTGGCTAAACGGGAAATCCTTCCTCCTCCTCCTCCTCCTCCTCCTCCTCCACCTGGGTGTACACTGGCCTGTTACGGGGAGCGAATTAAGTTTTGCGGTTAAGAAGAAGTGGGTCCATCCCCCGTCCTCCTTCCTTGGCCACGCCCCCCCACCCCTGTTCGCTTGGGCTACTGGCCGTGAGCCGCCCCTCTCTTTCCTTCAGTTGCTGTGGTGGCAGGCAGGTCGGGGGAGAAGGAAGGAAGGGAAGAAAGAAAAAAAGAAAGTGGGTAGCTTTCTCTGTCCAGTGCTGAGATTTCATTGCTTGCTTCACAACTGCCTTAAATTTCCCCCTCCCCCGGTTCTGTGCACGCGCCTCCGACGGTTTCCGAGAGTTAACGGTAAGTGATGCGGCGCCGGTTGGCCTTGGCGCGCGCGCGCATAACGGTGAGAGGCGCCTCTTGATTGACGGGAACCCCTCGCGTGCTGAAGGGCGGGGGGCGCCGGGAAGAGACGGCTCAGAGAACCGGCGGGGGTCTCCTGACCCCTCCCGGCCCTTCCCTGTCGCGCGAGGGAATTCGTTTGTGCGCGCCCGCAGGTTCCGGCGACTGCTGGGGACCAAGATAAGTGTCGCTGGTTCACGAGTGTGCCCCGACGGTTTGAAGGGTGGATATACTGAATTAGTTGGGAGGAAGGGGTTGTTTAAAAACAAAACAAAAAAACAAGAACTCGAAGCATCCCCCCCCCCCCAGAAGCAGGCCCCATTTTTCTCGTGACCCCCGCAGCCCTGAGGGGGGCTGCACGGAGACCGTACCCTGCTGCTCGTGTCTTTCTGAATGGTGAAAGAGGATCTTATGTTTTGCTTTTCTTATCCCATCCTTCCGTGTGTCTCTTCTTTTCTGGCAGGGTGGGGCAGTTTGTAGTGGACTGGGCTCTCTTTGCTTGATAACTGAATATGTAGAATTGGATCTGTAATTTTGGCTGGGTGGGATGAGTGGGGGGGGAGAAATCTGTCATAATCCACTTTTTAGCCACTCCGTCCCCTGCTACTCCCAGTGAGGATAGCCAGCGGGTCTCCGTCTTCTGTTCTTCCAGTGTGTGATCGAGTGGTGGAGAAGTGCCCGTGAATGTGGGATAAAAGGGTTTGATTTTATATTAAGCCAATGCTTATGTTTAGGTAAATCTCTTAACATTTAGGGCGCTACAAAGCTCCCTTCTTATTCTTGCTGCGGTGGGCTAACTCTGTTACCCTGCTGGATGATGTATTTTGAGAGGATGAGGGAAACCTGAGGCCATTCTCTGAACATGGGTACTTTAGTTTCTAAAACACAGTTACTGGGCAAATGGTGATGACAGGGGAACTCCTCACATTTCCCACTAAGATTATTCATTTGTGAAAGTTTGTGAAGTAAAGATGTACACTTTGTTCATATTCCTGGACCTTGTGTCACTAGTGTCCAGCAGCTATTGTTGGAGGACAGCTCGTTGACTCATGGGCTGGATCTGCTATCCTGGGAATCATGAAATTAAAAAGTAACTCTACACTCTCCCTTGCTCTGATCCAGAAACATTTTGGATAACTTTTTCTTCTTCTTACCCACCTCAACTTCCCCTATCGTTTTTGAGTTGCTTTATTCCTTTTCCTTTATGATGAAGAGAGAGGGTAAACATCAGCGACTTCATTTTGATAAATGTGTGATGTTAGATTACCATATTAATTTTTCTTGACTGCTCTGGCTCCAAGGTAAAAGTGGTGTTTCTGATTATGACAAATTGAAGAGTAGTTTGTTGCAGTATAAATGAAAAGGAGTCCTGAAGTATCTTGAAGACAGATTTATTGTTGTATAAGTTTTCATGGACAATAAATCTGTTTGCCTTTATGGTACCTTATATTACTTTTTTGGTGGGTTTTTTTCTCTGATCATGTGTTTCAAGGTAGGGGGAGAAATATACCTGTTAACATCCTTGTGTGCATTTCTCTGGACTGTAGAGTTTTCTAGTGGAATTTCAGTGAAAGATAATCACAGTTGGTGACCTCAGGCTCACTTCTTTACATGATAATAGCATGTTTTAAATATAGATCAAAGATAAGAAGTCTGATGTCTGATTTCTGTACATTTGTGAAAAAGCTATGTCTACATGCCTTGTTTGTAAGATGTCTAATTATTGCAAATCTTCCCTAGACTTAATCCTGACAAGATAAAGGTTCTCTAGGTTAGTTGAAAGGCAGACTTGGGACTTCAGATCTCCCCTGTCTTGGATGGGATTATACTCACCTTGAAAAGCGAAGTTTGTATCTTGGGAGTGATGTTTAGAAAACCAGGTGGCAGCTGTGGCTTGGAGTGCGTTTGGCCCACTCCAGCTCTTGCATCAACTCCATCTGTCCCTGGGTCAGTCAGATCTAGCCACAGCAATCCATGCCTTAGTTACATCTAGACTGGACTATTGCAATGCACTCTACTTGACACTGCCCTTAAAGAGTGTTCAGAAGCTGTAGCTAATGCAAATGCTGCGAGTATACTGCTTATTGGGGCCAGCTATCAGGTATATGTCCTCAGTACTACAGCAGTTGCACTAACTATGGATCCGCTCCTGAGCCCAATTCAAGGGGTTGATTTTGTCCTTTAAAACCCTATATAGCATAGGATGGATGTTTCTGAAAGACTGTCTTTTCCCATACTTCCAACCCAGGAGTTAAGGTTGCAGGGAGATAGCCTCCTGACTGTCCCACCAATTAAAGACAATTGTTTGGTAGTTATATGAGAGAGGGCCTTTTCCATGGCAGTCCCACAGTTATGGAATAACCTCCCCAATTAGATGTGCCTGGCTCCCTCACTGTTGATCTAAAGGAGAAAGTTAAGACAGTTATTTAGGACTGCATTTTGATTGATTTAGCTTTTATTATTGGCAGTCCTAATTGGTGTTTTTAATCTGTGACTTTTATGCGTTTTATAATTGTTTTTATTGTGCTTTTCATGGTTTATTTATATTATAAGCTGCTGAGGTCTGCAAGGGAGAAAGGCAACTAACAAATGTTTTAAAGCGACAGAGAGAGTTTGCAGACTATTCATTGCTTCTGTGTCTTTACAGAGGTCTTATGTCTTTGGGTTTAGAACTGTTTATCATAATCCTGGGATGAACTGAAATTAATTGTTTTTCCCCCAATGGCTGAATATGAAGGATATGATGCCTTCCTACTTTGTAATGTGTCTTGTACCAATCTTTTTATTACCTGTTAGCATAGAGGAGCTAAGCTAGAATATTTTTGAATGGGCAGCTGAAAGAAAATTATTCATGACAGTAACCTGAGGGAAGAAATGTTCTTGAATTTGTTGCTTGAATAATCAATGGCTTGAATGAAAAATTCACTGAATAGATCTGCTGCTGTTGCAGTTTTACACATCCTCTAAATTTTCAAAAGTAGTTTGAAATTGTTATAAAGGACAGGGGACAGAGTTCTGAGTTCTGGTTTCAGTTTTGCTGTTTGGCTAATGGTTCCCAAATTAAAAGTGAAACTTCCCGATTCAAGCAAAAACCCATGTTTGTCTTGTCTTTTTTTGTAGCTTCATACTTAAGAGACAAATATACATGTGTTCTAATAAGAAAAGTCCAAACAGAAGTGTGGCTAGTAACTACAATCTGCTGATGTAGTGCTGTTTTCAAATAGGGGTCTGTATATAGCAAAATATGATGTAGTCTGAGTTCTTGAAGCACGCCTTAAAACAGGATTGGGCTATCAGACCAAGCTATGACTACAGGCATTCCCATTTATTTATTTATTTATTTATTTATTTTTAAAAACATTTTATTTTGCTGTTCCTGAAAAGTACTGGGTTCACTGCATGGAAGACTCGGACGACGACATGCTGTTGCACACGTTTATTTAGTACTTAACACAACACTCCAACGGCCCTGCAAGGCCAACTATATACACTCCCGTCCCCGGTCCTCCCACTCCATTGGAGGGTTTGAATTTCCCGCCAAGAAGCGTATTGGGCGGCTGGGGGGGGGACTAGGATCCGAGGTCCCTATTGTCCTGTGGAGCCACGCTCCTCACTTTCTTGCGGGCGCCTTGTGGCGGCCCGCATACATAACAGTTCCACCCAAACAGGGTCCCCAAGGCAGAACATATAAAATATTAGAACAATTTAAAACAACATTAAAATGATTAAATAATTCAATAAAAGCACATTAAAAACAACACCAGAAAGAGGGAAAAGGGCCAATACTAATAATTTGGGGGATATGCCAAACAAAAAAGTCTTCACCTGCTGGCAGAAGACACTAATAGAGACAGACAGATGACTCTCCCTGGAGAGGGAGTTCCAAAGTTTTGGTGCCACAACTAGCCTCAGATGGTGGGGGCAAGCAAAGCTGAGCCTCTGAAGATGACTGGAGTGAGTGGATAGGTTCATATGGAAGAATTTAAAGGGATTTAAAGGTCAATACCAACACCTTGAATTGAGCCCGAAAGCAAATTGGATGCCAGCATAGACAGAACAAGACTGGAATCATATGGTCCCTGTGGCCTATTCCAGTCAACACTCTGGCCACAGCATTCTGTACCAGCTGCAGCTTCCAGACAGTCTTCCAAGGGCAGCCTCAAGTAGAGTGCATTTCAGTAATCTACTCTAGATATTACCAGGGCATGTTCCACAGTCTCAAGACCTTTTCTGTCCTGGAAGGCCCACAGCTGACTTACCAGTTGAAGCTGGTGAAAGGCACTGCTGGCCACTGCTGCCACCTGCTTCTCCAACAGGTCGGGTCCAGCAGCACACCCTCAAGCTACAGACCTACTGTTTTAGAGGGAGTGCAACCCCACCCAGAACAAGCAACCTATTTCCTGGGTCAGACCTTACCCCTACCAGTAGCACTTCCATTCGGTCAGGATTATGTTTCAGCTTGTTAGCCCTCATCCATTCCAAAACTGCCTCCAGGCACCTGTTCACAGTTTCCACAGCCTCCCTGGGATCTGCTGGTAGACTGAGATGGAGCTGAGTGTGATATGCATATTGGTGGCAACTCAGCCCAAATCTCTGGACGACCTCTTCCAGCAAGTTTACATAAATGTTTTAAAGCTTGGGGGACTAGATGGAACTTTGGGGAACCCCATAGGCCAGAGGCCAAGGGCAGAGCCGCAGTCCCCCAGCACCACACTCTGAAACCTGCCCTCAAGAAAAGTCTCTAGCCTCTTCCCTTGTGGAGACATCCCTTTTCCCTTATATCTCCACGAGGAAAGGTACTGGAGACTTACTTTTTAAAAAAAATGAAAGCTAGGATTTCGGAGAACTTGCTTAGCCTATTGTTACAAGAGTCCAATATTTTAGTGCCATTTTAAAAGAAAGAAATCACTCATCTTCCGGGGAGGGGGAATGGTTTGACCATGACAGTCTAATAATTGAATAGTGGGCTGGAGGTGGATGGGGGGGGGGGACAAAGAAAACTGACAGAAGCATTATGCATTATTCCAGAAAAATATTGGGGTATACGTGGTTTCAAAAGAATTGGAAGAAAACCCTGGGGGAAAACCAAAAATCAAGAAGTAAAAACTAAAGGCACAAAAATGCATGCAGACATCAGGGATAAATGGACGCACTATGGGGCCAGAAAACCCCACACAGAAAAGCCCCACCTCCAGAAGCTCAAGCAGGGAGAGAGCTGGGCAGCAGGCAGGCAGTACCCCAACAGAATCCCAATCCTGTTATGCACACTCAGCACTAGATAACACTCTCAATCCTGGCAGAGTCCTGGGCAGGGTTTCAAAACAGGGGGATAGAATCACAGTAGACTACAGCAACACCACCTTCCCATCCACCAGGCCTATGCTAATGCATCACTACGTACCTTGGGGGCATAGTTGAGAGAGGTTAACCCCTCCCCTCTCCCTCCCTCCTTCCCCAGTCAGGTCTTAGTGATACATGCCAGGTCAACTCTCCCATCCAGAATTAAATCTTGGATGGCTGCCCCTTTGCCTGTAACTGACCTGCCATTTAAAAGCAAGATATTATAGTTTAGTGGGATGTTGATATGCTCACCAGCATCACCCTGGCTGGAAGAAGAACCAGAAGGGGGCAACAGCACACGAGTCTCTGCTGTCCCTTCCCCTTACCTGGCCTGTTCTTCTCCCACCACCATATCTCTTTCTATCAAAACTATATTGTTTGTGGCATCCTCTCTGCATTCTGCTCCTTCCCCCAGACATATCCCCAGCCAGCAGATGAAACAGAAACAGACAATCAGACTTAAAAACAGTTTGTAAGGGTGGCACATGTTAAATTTTTATATGCAACAATACATTGTAAAAAACCTTCTTAGGCTATTTTGTTGATCTTAAGAAAGGATCTTTATCAGAGTCTCAGTTCTACTTTGTTCCCTCTAGTGCCTTTTATCAGCTTTCACTGATATGGCATCTAAAGCTGTTCCTCAAATGTGCAATCTGGCTGTAGTGACCCATGTTGTGATCTCATTCAGGTTAGATTACTATACATGGGCTGCCTTTGAAAACTGTATGGAAGCTTCAGCGGGTCCAAAATGTGGCAACCAAGCTACCGTCAGTGGCTGGATACAGGACCTCGTGTTCTGTTGAAATATGTCTACCTGCCTCTGGGCACAATTCAAAGTGTTTGTTCTTGCCTATGAGGACCTAAAGAGTTTTGGGGCTAGGGTACTTGAAGGACCAGCTCCTCTTATACTGTCCAGCCTGTTAGTTGAGATCCTGCTTACAAGTCCTGCTCTGTGGGCTTCTGCCTGCAGAGGTGGTAGGAGGTGGTGACAAATGATAGGACTCCTTCCGTGGTGGCTCTTTGCCTGCAGAATGCCCTCTCTCAAGGATTTCCTGGTGTCTCCTTAACTCTCTTTTAGGCACCGGGTCAAATATTTCTTTTTACCCAGGCTTTTAGTTAGGGGGTTGATCTTTTAAATTGTTTTTACACTGTGCTTTCTGAGGACTCTTTTGAGGATCATTTACACTTTATGCTTCTCTGCTATTATTGGCTGGGTTTTAACTGTTAATTTTAATGATTTTGTCTTGTTTTATATTTGAACCGCCTCAAGCAGAGATGGCATATAAATGTTTTCAATAAATAAATAAATGAGGGAGGCATTATCTGGTATGTGTTACTACAAAGTTAATTTATAGTGACATGCCTTTGTTGTTTCCCTCAGTTGCATTGTGTTGCAAAATGTTCAGGTTGTAACAAATGTTAGCCCTGAGCTTGTGTGAGTAGCAATGTTCCTTTCCAGATATTCAGTGTTCTTTATTAGGAAGGTGTACCTTTCCATTCTTGTTGTAGTTGAAGGATTGATTTTAACTATGGTTTTATTTAATTCAACAGATGCAGTTTATGTTGCTTTTTAGTCGTCAGGGGAAGCTGAGACTTCAGAAGTGGTATGTCCCATTGTCTGACAAAGAAAAGAAGAAAATCACAAGGGAACTTGTTCAAACTGTCTTAGCCCGTAAACCGAAAATGTGCAGCTTTCTTGAATGGAGAGACCTGAAGATTGTCTACAAAAGGTTGTTTTGCCTCTGTAAACTTATAATTGCAAGTCACAACAAAAGATAGATTGTACTATTTAAATGCTTCCTTTACTATGCGTGAAAAAAACTGTCTCTCTGTGATTTCCTTGAATAGCAATTCTATAATACAGTTTTTTCACTTAGAAATGTGCTGATGAAAAGGTGAGATTTTTTCAAATAGTTCTAATTCTGTTCACAATAAATTAAACAGATTGAAGACAATGTATATTTTAAAGGCATGCTTGAATGTGGAATCTTGATTTAGTTCAGTTTATGTAAACTAGAATTAAATCTTGCATATGAAAAAGATATGCAGGTACAGCACTTTATTCTTCTAGTACTTTGAAATCTGAACTAAGAGCTTTTAAGTATCTATAACAGTTCATTGTAGCTGAATGAATGAACACTTTTCTTGCTAACTTCTGTGAAATTATTTCTACACTTAGTAACAAGATTAAGTATTATTTTGCCCACTTGTAAATTTCTCTTATAGTTGAAAGTGTCTACTACAAATTTATTTACTTCCTGGAATACTCCATGTCAAATTGGAGGCAAACTTCTGAGTTTTCTATTGCATATTGACATTATTATGTAGATGTTTTAGTTTAACAAGTTTGGGTTTATATGGTTTTGAAGATCAAGCTGCTATAATCTGGAGTATGAATTTGACAAATTGTGATATTCAAGGTCAGGAAGGATTTAGACTGGTCAGGAAGGAATTAGACTGGTTTGTGACCTAAGTTTCCTGCCTTCCTGTAGTGTATGATTTATATGAGACATCATGAACTGAGTATTCTTACCGACTCTCTCCATGTTGCACTCTATTCTTGATGTAATGCACTTAATCTATTGAGGACTGTTGGTTATATAACCCTGCCTATAAACAAGGTGGTATAAATTAAATTAGCTAATAATTAGGCAAATAGGTATGAATATATGGATGTACCTGTAAACTAAAAGATTAGAAGAAAGATTCTGGCCAGCACCTTCTGCAAGGTCTACTCCCTGATGGCTCTGCTCAGCAACAACTGTGAGAAAAGGGGCCTGGCCCTCAACAGGAAGTTGAAGCATGAAGACACCAACCTGGCTTCCTCCACCATCGTAAAGGAGGGTGCCAATAAGGAAGTCCTTGGCATTCCTACCGAGTCAATGTGAAGCTGGTGGTGTCCTGAGGTGGGAACATGTCCATGGAGCTCCCCTTTGTGCTCATGCATCCCAAACCACCGGACCAGACCCCCTCTTTGCAGCCCCAGACAGGTGTCCAAGAAACAGACACTCCCGTCGAAACAAACCTTATTGAGTTTGAAACCAGCTATGGGCAGGATGATGACATTGTTTTTGAGGACTTTGCCTGCCTGCACTTGAAGGACCTGAACGATGACAAGGAAGACGATGACCATAACCTCCCCCCACCTTGTGTCTTTTGTGCTGTATGGAGGGAGACTTTTAATGTGACTTACGGGGGGGAGCAATTGAGTGTTCAGCTTCTCTGCCCTCCCCCTGCTGCTGTTTTCCAAATGAATTTTAATATTTAAAAAAATGCACTGGAGTCCTTTTTGAGCATTATCTTGCATCCTGCCTCGCTGTGTGCCTCTTCCCAGTGCATAGTTTGTTGGGTGCACCCCCTGGCCAGGGCTAGCATCTGCCTGTGTCTCACTTTCCTGGGGTTCTGCGGATGTCTTATGCCCCTGGAAGAAAGACTCATGTGCCAACTGCAGCCAGCCCCTGCCCCTTGTTCATCAGCTAGGTACAGGTGGCTGCAGAGAGGGAGTCAGAGCCCTTGGCTGCCACATCTGTGCAAAGGAGAACGAAATAAAATCAAGTAATTCTGGAAACAGTCAGGAAAAAAAGAGAAAGAGTCTGGCAAAGTTAGTAAAACACCACATTTTCAGGAAAAAATTGCGGGGAGGTCCCTTAGCCAACAGCTTCATGTGTGTGCTGCTCCCATGCTGCCAGGATATGTTAGTAGCAGAGAGTAGCATGCAAGTGTGAGCACTGTGTTGGACACAGCTGGAAATTAGGCCGAGGGAAGAATTGCTCTTCTGTTTGCCTTCAGCTGGGGGAGTGGTGCCAGTGAGTCATAAGAGGTGTCCTTAGATTTAGAAGACCCTTCCCAAAGTACAGTTTTTTTCTCTCCATTGATCTTTTAAGCTATGGACTATGGCAAGAATTGGCCTCTGAGGAAATGCTTTTTTCTTAATTTTCTACAATGTCTACATGGATCCCCAGTTTGGTGTAGTGGTTAAGTGCGAGGTGTAGTGGTGTAGTGGTTAAGTGCGAGGACTCTAATCTGGGAGAACCGGGTTTGATTCCCCACTCCACTTGCAGCTGCTGGATGACCTTGGACAAGCCATAGTTCTGATAAGAGCTGTCCTTGAAAAAGAGCAGTTTCTGTCAGAGCTCTCGCAGCCCCACGTACCTCACAGGGTGTCTGTTGTGGGAAGGGAAATGAGTTTGTAAGCCTTTTTGAGACTCCTTTGGGTAGTGAAGGGCAAGGTATAAATCCAATCTCTTCTTCTTCTTCTCTATTATTGTGTCACTCAGTGCAAATGTGCATACCATGTGTGTTTGCTCCTAGTAGGGTAGAAGCTGAATATGAGGCAAGTCTTTAGCACTACATCAGCATTTCATCAAAGAATTCTGTACCTGGAAGAAAGGATTTTTGTCCTTACAATGGCAGCTGTTCATCTTGGCTTCCTCCCTGTGAAGTAGGCTCAGTTGAGTAGTGCAAAGAATGCAGAGCAATTAACCTCTGAAAGCTGTCTTTGTAAGGCTGGCCTAAACTATCTTACAGTAAAGCAAAAAGGTGGTCTTGTATAATGTAATAGTTATAAGCCATTGGACTCACATTCATGCACCAATTAGTGGTATAGGTACTGGACATTTTCTTAAAAATTGTAGAATTACCATTTTCTTTTGAGCTGATTAGGCATAACACCAAAATAAGCTAAAATTGTAGAAAAATATATGTCACTACTGAGAAAGTAAAAGATACCTGTATAAAAATGTTCATGCAAAAGTATTATAAAAATGATAGTGAATTAGTACTCCTTATTCAATTGTTCTGTAACTCCTTGAAGTTTAAGCCACATGTTCTGTACCCAGTGATCTTTCTGATTATCTTGACAAGAATTCATGTTTAATGCCCTTCTCTTCCTATTGACGAAAACAGTTTCAAGGAAAATGTGTGTAAATAAAAACAAAAAAAAATAACTATACAGGTATTTCAACTTAAAAGCACATTTGTGTTGAGAGATTCAGCAGGGAAATTGAGCCTTGACTATTCTGTGTTACGTGAAGAAGCAGACTTGGCTGGGAAGAGGAAGGTAGGGAAAAAACCTCAAGTGCTCTAGGTAATGGTAAGATTAATATTCTGCCAATACCAATTATTTGTGCAGATGTTAATGGAAGAAGTTTCCAGCATAATTTTATTTATTTTATTTTATTTATTACATTACATTTATTAATCGCCTAATCCCTACGATTGTGGGGCTCTACGCAAAGTACAAATTTTAAAACCATAAAAACATAAGACCATATCCAGCATATTATACAATAATTAAAAGCAAGTGGCAAAAATTGTGCAGTTCCTTCCCATATCTGGTTTATGAGTACTTTGGAAGCACAGAGAGGGAGTAAACTCCACAAGGAATAGGGTTCCAGGTAGGGTGCCAGCTATGATGTATTTTATTTATTTTATTGCATTTGTATCCCGCCCTTCCTGTGAACGGGCTCAGGGCGGCTCACATTTATCGGCAGCACATGCCAAGTCAGCATAAAACATTTAAAAACAAGTTAAAACAGTCATGCCGTAAACAATTAACAGCTAAAGTGCTTGCAATAGTGGTCGCTGTCCTCAACCGAACGCCTGGTGGAACATTTCTGTCTTACAGGCCCTGTGGAATTGCATAAGATCCCACAGGACCCTGATGTTAATTGGGAGAGTTCCACCAGGTTGGGGCCAGGGCTGAAAAGGCCCTGGCCCTGGTTGAGGACAGCAGGATATCTCTTGGGCCAGGGACCATCAGCAAGTTGTTCTGTGAAGCGTGTAATGCTCTCCCAGGGGTGTTCTGAGAGGGGATTTCATTACACTATTAAACTATTGTGCTGGAGATTAAAAAACAAACATAACCATTTGTGTAGAAAACTTTTTCTGCTTAAAAATAAGTACTTAAAGACCCCTCATGTTATTTTACTAGAGCACGCACAACTTGGTGCCTAGCAAAGGTATTAGTAAAGGACATAATCGTGTAAAATGTTTTAAAGATTAAATAGGTATTAGGAAATGAATTACAGCAAAACTAAACATTCCTTGTATAAAGATTTTATTGACTCCCCTAAAAAGGGGAGGAGTTTCGCTTAAAAAGAAAAATAAGGAAGGTATATAGTGGGACGAAGAGAAAGCTGAGTGATCTATTAACTGTTAGATTAAACTGTTAGTAATGTCCAATCATCAAAGGCTTCTTCTGCGTGTTGTCAAACATCTTTTTTCCATTCCAGTTACTTTCTGTGTTAGTATGTTAGTAATGTTCCTTTGAATTTCTGTTAAAAAGTCTCTTCAGGGCACATTCAAAACCGCTTCTTTTACGTGCTGGTTACTTTTCCACTCTCAGTGACGGGAGGGGCTTCCTCTGTTTTTCTCTCCCTCCGGCTTCTTCCCCTCCTCCTTCGGGTCGCTGTTAACTCTTTCAGTTCCTGTGCTGTAAGCTGTCTTCCTTTCATGCCATGCCCGGAGATCTCCAGCTTTGAGAATGGTATTAATTTCAATTTCGCTTTTATCCGCTCCCAATCCCTTCGCTGGATTCTCCTCTTCAGTTGTTGACTTTTATAAGCGCTCATGAGGCACTTTTCGCTGTCACAATTCAAACTTTTCTTTTCCTTCACAATCCCCATTGGATTCATAGCTATACACAGTCCAAATATTAAACAGCCGGCACTCACGTTGACACAAACGCCCAGACGGAAGTCCCTCCCTTCTCCGCTTGTCTTTACCCAGC